AAAACCCTGACATATATGGATGACAATTAAAACTACTTAAAATACTTACAATACTACCAAAATTTAAAAAAAGAAAAAACGAAAAACGAAAGAAAAAAAAGAAGGGTGAGAATAGAAAGATATACATATGCTAGAGACTAATAAATGAATGCAAAAAGGAGAAAAAAAAGCTGATTGAAGAATGAAATCATATCAGTGAATTAATGAATGAATACTACTGATACACTATTATTGTGAAGAAAAAAAGCAATTGTATTGAGTTATGACATTATTTATACATGAAGAAGATGAATAATGTTTAAAAAGTAAAAATTAGAAAGCAATCAAATTAACCCTTTCACTGCTCTTTTTTAGGAAAGTAGAATGAAAGATTGTGACATTTTTGTAAATTAATAAAAATGTCGAAATAATTAGGAATTGATAATGATGTATAGTGATAAGCAAAGGTCAGAAAAGTTGATATTATATGCAAAAATAATAGAACTTCTCAAGCATTTAGTAATACATATTACATCTAATAGCAATGAATGATGGACCTAACTCCTAAAATACTAGTTGATTACTGTTAATTAATCACACTAATCACGTAACATTGATGAACATGCCACGTAATAAACATAACAGTCATTGCATCACGACTCATGCATGGCTATTTGCATGCAAACCGAACCAAATGGTTTGCATGCAAGCTGCAAACAACTGAACTTTATGCTACCTCCTATTACATCTTTCTTTACTCTCTCTACTGTGACTATCATCGTCCAGTTTACCCTAAATAGTAACACACTTTCTGCATTACACTGTATTAGAATTGATAATTATTTCATACTATTACGATTAATAATTAACAATTGCCGTATCCTATTCCGATCAACAATTACAATTCCGATTAACAATTACAATTCTGATTAGCAATTACAATTCCGATTAACAATTAACAATTGCCGTTTTGATTGATTATTATTCCTATAATTTTTTCTTTCCTTTTCTCTGTAAGTATGAATAATCGATTTAAAATTCTGCAAAAAAAAAAGACCGTAAGGGAACGATTATACGAGAGATAATCCAAATGTTATCGTATTCAAGACAATTGTAATTTTATTTGGGTATGAATGGTATCATATTAACTATTACGATGGTACAGAATGACATGTATCGTATATTTAATGCAAAACGAGAATGTCCCATATCAACATTTTATGGATAAGTATGGATTCATAATCATTTACATGAAAAAAGATAAAATAGTACTAAAAATAATAAAAAATAAAATTGTGTTTTCAGATTTTAAAACTGTACTAAAATAATAATACTTGAAATCAAATTCACTTAGTTACTGTATTTTTTTTTCAAATTTAATTTGCAATGTCATTTTATGCACCAATATTATTGATATAAATGATGTTGCGTTTTTTTTCTGATAAAAATTGTATTGCTCAACAAAGATTTCACCCATCGATTTGGTAATATGTGACAGGCCGTATATTCTTTCATCTAATTAAATGATTATTGCAGGTATATAAGCGTATTTTGCATACATAACATTGGTATATAAGTGCAAGAATTTGCGAATTTTAAAGTTATTTTAAATGCTTAAATATAGCATATATAAATAAATTAAATAGAATTATTATTCAAAAAATCGGATTTAATTCTTTATCAAATTGAGTTTCTTTTTTTGCTACAAGAATTAAAACTAAATTTTAAAAAATGCTAAAAGTATTTCATATTTCTTTTATTTTATATATTATTTATAATATTTTCTATTTGTATTCGTATATTCCATCCAAACAGAATTTGTAATTAATTGAACTTGACATTCTTTCAATTTGTTTGCATTTACAAATACGTTTTAAGAAAAAAAAATTTTAGAAGTGAATTGAATAACTTTTTGGAATTTCAATGCATGTAAATTTTAATACTTGATTTTAATTTTTATTCATTTCAATCCAGTTCAATGTAGTATTTCAGTTCTATATGGTTTCATTCAAGCTGTTCAATTTTATTTGATATATTTTGCTTTAATTGAATTTAGCATTGCTCAGTCCTTCTCGAATGAATTCAGTTCAATTTTATTTTATTTTAAAAGCACATGCAAGATGCACACATATACACACACACATACGCACACACACACACACACACACACACACACACACACACACACACAAAGACACACACATGCCACTTATGCACATGCAAACAGCACTAAAAGCACGACAAGTCTTGCAGCTTATTTTCAAAATTTTACTTTTAAAAAAACTGATGTAGCTGATAAAAGCGTAAATTGGAGTAAATTGAAATGATTAATTCCAATGAGATGAGTTAGAGCTTTTTAAAGGAAAAAAAATTAGATAAAAAAAGAAGAGAAAGTTGTTAATATGTATCATATATTTAGTTTAATAAAATTGAAATTATAATTGATCGAAATATATCCGTGATACGTGCGTAATAATTATTTTCGTGCAAAACGTAAACTTATAATATTTAATTTTAATAGGTCTCATTAAAATACAGCCAAATTTTCACTGCCACTTTTTTCACTTAGTTTATATTTCCTCATGTATCATTTGAGATAGTATTGTAATTGGAATTAAACTTTTCAATATTCCCTCGGCTCTTTTTTAAATTTTTTTTGAAAATATTATAGCTAACGCAGATTTTTCTCATTTCCGAAATTTAACCACTTGAAAGAATTGATTAAACGAAATAGATTGAACAGCAAGTGGAGAAATTAAACTAAAATTTAGGACTTTATTGAATTTCCTTTCATTCGCTTCAGTGTCATCCTCTACTTCGTTATCTTTGTCAAATCGCAAAATCTATTTTGATTCATTTTAACTTTAATTTGTTAAAATAAAATTTAGTTTTAAATTTTATTTCTTATACTTTATTGTCTTTTGTCATCAAATCTTATTACACATTTATCTCACTTCTTATCGATAAAATGATGCTTGTATTACTGATGCTATAAGTGAAAATGCTCAGCTATCTACGCTTTTACTTCATCTGCTTATTGGCTTAGCTTAGGCCAAATAGTTACTTTATTTTTTGCTAGGCTAAATTTTCGCTCATTTTTTTCAATACTTCCTTCCAATTCATATTTCTTCATTGAAATCCCTAAATTAAGATGAGGCAAACAATCGAATAAGATAGGCTTTTTAAACTAATTTACTAAAATGCATTTCATTTTGCAGTTTTCTTCGGAAATGCATTCATTTTTATTATTAAAAAAAAAAGTTACCATTTCGAATGAAAAATCTTCATTTGAGCATAAAATTTAAAAATTCAAATTTTTTTTGAAAAATCAATTATTCTATTATTCAGTCAATCAGTATGTAATTATCAGCGGGATAATATAAAATTATATGGAGTACTTGTATGATTTTTTTTTTTCAATAGAATTTGGATGAATCAAAAAGAGTGTATGACATCGATCGTCACAGTCACGTTATTATCACGACATCAAATGGGGACATTTATCCATCATTGGAATGTCATTGTTACATTAACGGTCACCTTCAAATAAATTATTCATTTCGTTGAGTTTTACTTTAATTATTACGTTTATTTACACAAAAAATAAAAAATGAAAAAATAAAAAAAGTAAAAAAACGTGTTTTACATCTTACTTTAACAAAAAAAAATAATTCTGAGATTATCAAATAGATTAACTTGCACAAAAAGACTATTTTTAGTAGAATGAGACTTATGTAAAATTTATTCAGGTAATAAAGGTTGCAAAAGTTTTTATTTACAAAATTTATGTGGTAGTAAATTATGGAAATGATTGTTGAATTTGAATGAAATTGGAAGAAGCTTGTTTGTAGACAATCCTTTTTTTTCTTAAAAATTTTAAATAAAAATTCCTTCTAATTTATAGATTTACCAACTAGTTGAATTTTTAAAAATTTCTTCAAAAATAACTTTTTATTTTGTGAAAAAGAAAAAAGTTAAAATTTTCATTCACACAAAATTACAATTTAATACATTTTACTGCTCGATTTTTTCAAATTTTTTCATTCAATAGCAGTTTGGTATTTTTTATTTAATACATAATTTTTTTAATTTTTGATTTTTATATTTTGTTGCAAAAATTTTTCCAATAATCATATGAGTTTAATCATAATATTATGCAAAATTTAGCTCCTTTCTATTTTTCCCTTTATTGCAACTCTGTTTTGAAAGCAAAAAAAAAAGAAAACTGAAAAATTTTTTTTTTTTGTGTATTAAAAAAACGAAAAGCAAGAAAGATTCACTGTTTATATTGATTGAGTAGAAATAAACGTGAAGGACAAACAGGTGACAGACTTAATTAATATGCAGATGTTTGTTTGTATGAATGTATGCATGTACTCTTTTCATTGTTTCATATTTCAATGGATGACAATTGCTCCGTTAACAAATAATAAAAGATTCAGAAGAAGGAAAGAATAAAGGTAAGGCTGTAATGAATTAATCAGAAGAATGGAAGGAAAAGCAAAAAATTGGATTTGATTTTGTACCAAACTAATACTAGCTAATTATAGTGCATTATTATTGTTGTTGTTATTATTGCTATTATTATTATTATCACTATTGTTATCACATTATTATCTCTATAATTAACGTTGCCACTATCACTATTATTGTCATTATCATCATCATTATTGTCATTATTATCATCATTGTCGTTATTATCAGTTTTATCATTATTATCATTATTATCATTGGTATTACTGTCAATTACTGCCATTGGTTTTATTACTATTGTTATTATCTGTGGTAACTGATAAAATTAAAGTTTCATTTCTGCTGAAAATTTTGATTTAAAATGAAGGATTTTAAGAATTAAATGAAAAAGAAGTGGTGCGATATTTTATAAAGTTATGGTTGACAAATAGCATTCCTAACTCTATCCAATTGTCGAAAAATTTGACTCGCATTAATTAATTTGTCATTGAAGTTGGTTATTCATTCCGTACATTTCAGTTAATCAATAGCTTTCAGATGATAAATTGGCTTATCATATGTTATCAATTCCGTCTGAAATCAAATTCTTATTTCATTTTTCATTTATTTCATTGGATGATTTATTTAGCTTTTTGAATATAACCAATGTATGAATTTCTTTTCTTCAATTATTACAGAGGAAGTTTGTATTTTGAATGCTTGATTGAACATATTTAAATTTACTTAAATCCATCCTTTACTATCACTTAGTTCAGGAACATTTTCCGAATTTCTTCTCATCCATAAAAAATGTGAAACTAATTTAAAATGTTTCGTTTTCTTTCAATTCCTTTTTTTCCTAACTTATTTTTATGCATGATATAGTAGTGTAATTGTCCAAACTTCCTAAAACTAATTCATCATCTTGTCGGTTGGGGTAATTAAAACTCGCATTAATTAATACATCATTATCATCGCCAATATCATACATCACAATCAGTGAATGAATGCATGAATGGGATGATGAGAGAGTAAAATGGCACATTCAGGTCATCATCGGTCATCATCATCATCCTTCATATAATCTGTAAATTATGTATAACAAATAGCCTGCTGGTAAAGTGGACAGCAATTCATCGTTTCATATGTTATATGATATATGTTACAGTTATAAGGCAATATTCAGTGTATTTACTACACTGCAAATTCTATTGCTAATCCATTATTATTATTATTATTATTATTATTATTATTATTATTATTATTATTATTATTATTATTATTATTATTATTATTATTATTATTATTATTATTATTATTATTATTATTATTATTATTATTATTATTATTATTATTATTATTATTATTATTATTATTATTATTATTATTATTATTATTATTATTATTATTATTATTATTATTATTATTATTATTATTAT